GTGTACCGGAACCCTGTAAAAGCTTGTGCCGTATTAGTTTAATATAAAGCAAGCCACGCCTTCTTGATAAAAATTGAAATTGAAATTTGAAACTATAAAACACGTGGTCACATGTGATTAGGACAGAATTTTAAAAGATATGCTGAGTGTAATGAAGATACACATCGACTTTGAGAGACTATTAGAAGAAGTGAATAATCCAAGCACTATCTCTGTATATTTCTATCAGTTAGGATCAGAAGCAACCAATCTTCCTGATATATCACAAGGTATACAGTCACGTGACACTACTCACTGATCACGTGATCACAGGTTGGTCTGATGGTTTGAGACGAGCAATAGATCATCAAGCAATGAGTCTGTTTCAGTCTCCAGAGACGTTTGGTACATGGCTACTGATTAATAAACTAAAAGAAACAAATGATGTAATACTGATGTAATTAATGTATTATTAATATTGTTACTATTATTAGGATAAGGTGATTGATGGGGTAATTAGTGTGGGCGTGGTATTACAAGATTTGATGTATATTAATCATCAAAATTTAATTGAATTACTAAATCAAAGTAATAATAATAATAATTAAATATTATTATTTTCTCTCTCAATATATTTCATTCATTAGCTTATACAGTATATTTAAATTACATACAGCTGGACTAGTATTAATACATGAAATATTGTTCAAGTAAATATTATCTACTCTTGATATTATATATAATTAATAATATGCCCCTCTCTCTCTCTCTCTCAGTTCTTCAAATATGAAAGATGTAGTTTGTGAAAATTTTTAATAGCGATGGATCCTGTGACAATGAAGATGTCTCCGCCCTATTGGCCAACACTCCGGATAAAGGATACCATCCTGTTATAGGAACACGTGGTCACATGTGTTTAGTGATGAAGAGTATTTTAAAAGATATGCTGAGTGCAATGCCGTGCAATGCATAGGCGGCTGCAGGATTTCACTGCAATTAGGGCAAAGGTGTGGCTGAAAGTGGGAGTGGTCATAATGTAGGTGTGGCCATGACCACACCCACATGTCTTGTTCTTGAGTTTTAAGACTGTTAAGACTTCTATTTCAGCATTTTGTGAAGAAATCAAGTTGAAAGAGGCTCTGAAATTCTCAATGAAGAGTTACTCTGCCATTCTTGTGTTCAAAAGGAGAAAATTCAGTACCTAAAAGACCTGTATCAATGATAGAGTATCAGTAGCTAGGCGATTTAGCTGTTGAATGAGTCCTACCTGACTATGATAATTAATAATGAAGCTGCTACATGAAGGAGTCAGTTATTCTAACTGCAGGTTACTGTAGATTATGCCTTCCTGATGTGACCATAGATATAGACCTATGAAGCTTACTGTGTTGAACCATGCAGTTAGCAGCTTATTCTCCACTAATTATCACTTTTTTGAGCAAAATAATATAGTTTTTGTCATTAAAATAGCTATATTCCATGTAATAACTACTAACTAATTATTAATTAACTGCTAATTATGATGATGTCATCTTCCGGTAAGAAATTCTAGTAGGGCATTGCCCTCATTGCCTGCCCTGCAGCCGCCTATGGTGCAATGGAGACACACATTGACTTTGAGAGACTATTAGAAGAAGTAAATAATCCAAACACTATCTCTTTATATATCTCTATCAGTTAGGATCAGAAGCAACCAATTTACCTGATATATCACAAGGTATACAGTCACGTGACACTACTCACTGATCACGTGATCACAGGTTGGTCTGATGGTTTGAGACGAGCGATGGATCATCAAGCAATGAGTCTGTCTCAGTCTCCAGAGACGTTTGGTACATGGCTACTGATTAATAAACTAAAAGAAACAAATGATGTAATACTGATGTAATTAATGTATTATTGGGGCGAGCAAAAGCGAGCCCCACTTAAGCGAGACTCTTCTGTATGTATGTATGTATGTACGTACGTCTTCAGTCCATAGATAATAGAGTACAGAATATCTATGTTCAGTCACGCCTATTCTGGTCACACCCAACGTGTGCACTACTATCTATTTAAATGTCAATGATCTAA